GGCAGGGTTTCCTTCTTTTTTATAGCTATAGAGTATTCTATTGTGTGTGTGTGTGTGTGTGTGTGTGTGTGTGTGTACATGTGTGTGTTGTGTGTATGTGTGTGTGGGTCACATTTTCCTTATTCATCTGTCAACAGATACCTAATTGTTTCCATAGCTGGGGTACTGTGAATAATGCTGCGGTGAACATGGGGGTGCAGATTTCTCTTTGACATTGATTTTGTTCCCTTCCATTAAATACCCAGAAGTTAACTTGCTGGATTGTATGGTGATTCTATTTTTAATTTTTTGAGGCATCTCCATGCACTTTCCATAGGGGCTGTACCAACTTATATTCCCAGTCTAGATTTACATCTAAGTAGCCACGTATAGTGAGAGGATTGGACGGCCCAGCCCCAGAGCGTCTCCGGCTATTTATAGTGTGCGGATAACCTCCTAAAAGCCTTTAAAAAATAAGTTATTCATCGTGCAATTATTAATTTTCTACCCTAGAATGAAACACTCTTAGAACAATGCTCCAGTTGCTACAATGATAGTTGGTTTTGGTTCTTCTGTTGGGGAAACGGCGTTAGCTGTTGTTAGCTAGCGGGGGAAGCATGTTCTTAAGCATAGCATTGGTTTCACGAGTGCACTTCGTCTGTGCGGCGCCTGGTGGCTATGCCTGTTGTGAATGTAACTGATGAAGATACATGCACGTCCTTTTAGGAGGATCCAAGCTGTTGTTCAGGAGCAAAGCTGGATCAGTGTGTTCTTACAGTTGGAGCTCTGGTCTGTCCAGTGTGCCTGTCCGGTGCTGGCTGGGGCTTCTTGCCCCAGGGAGCTTTGTAAAGAGATGTTCAGGTTAGCTGAGTGCCTTTTTGGCCCCCACTCCTCAGCCCCCCAGGCACTTGGGGTTTCTTGTCCTGCAGCCATCCAGAAACCCTGCAGGGGCTGATGGCTGAGTCTGGGCTGGTACCCTGTTCCCAGAGAGAAGGAACTCCAGAGTGACCTTCAGGTTCCTAGACTGAGGAGGACGTGAAGGAAAAGAGGGTCGTCCTGGGCTTGTTGGTCTGAGTAGTTACAAATACCGGAACGTACTCTGACACCAGTCTCTGGGCTTCGTTCCTGGGGTGACATGACCCCGTCTTTGTCACTTTTTCCAAAACTCAGCAGAAGCTCTGGCCTGAGAGCATCCCCAGTGGTCACCCGATCATGTGACCAGACCAGAAAGTGGCATTTAGGAGCCGGGGAATACCTGAGAGTCCTTAGGGACATTTCTGCAACTTTCTTTTAGCAACTAAAGCCTCAGAAGTTGACGCAGCCGTCTTTGGTTAGACAGAAAATGATACTGAATTCTCTGCCATCAGCAAAATTCTACATGACTGAGCTTCCTAGATGAGGCCCCCTCTCTTGCATTATTTAAATCCATATCATTGATTTTTTTGTAACCCAACTCTTCTGAGAATCGGAGAATGTTAAAGCCAGGTGGAAGGGAATGTAGAAATGGTCATAATCCAACCTTCTCATTTCAGAATGGAGGAAATGGAGACCCAGAGAGGTTGTGAGTTGAGAAAGGATGCACAGCGAGTTCAGGGCTGATCAGGGGAGCACAGAGCAAGCCCAAGATGACCAGACCAGGCCCCCTGCATTCTTGCATTGCAGGGCCTCTCCTTCTTTTGTGCACTCAGCTCCTGGTTGCCTGTGGACTGCTGGTTGCGGACTGCTGGGGGCTCTCGGTCAGAAGTTGGACAGATTGACAACAAAGGAACATTTCAGATGCAAAATAAGAAATAGATTGATGCTCACTGTTTATGTAGATTTTAAAATGCTGCTGCTTGCTAGTGTGTCACATAGCTGTCTTGAAAAATTCCACCAGAATATTCTGACCAGTGATACATTGCCACTCTTCATGGTAGCTTTCCGTAGACTGTTCATGTGATATATTATGTATAGGATTTCATTATTGCACAACTCATATTGTTGTGCAGTAAAAAAAAAATTGGTTATTTTTTTATGGACGGTTTTGTTGGGATTAGTGTGCTTTCCAAGCACTAGACCTGTCTCCATTTGTTGATTCTGATACCCCTTTTCTTGTGACTTACTTTCTTTAAATAGCGTGCCTCTCTTACCTTATCCCAAAAGTACTGAGATGCTGGCTGCTAAAAGTGTACGTTTCTGTGCACATAATAAACATTCTCTAAACATTGGTTGGAAGAGTCAGTGTTGTCCCGTCCAGATAGGTCTGGAGGTTCATTTCTTTTGCTTTTAACTATGGCCAGGGCAGGTTGGGGGGTGGGGGTGGAAATTCTATAGTTTAGGGAGAATATTAGCTGTAATTTTTTGCCCCATCTCGTTTGAATGGAGTCTTAAAAAAATTCGCATGTGCACTGAAAATCTGGGAGAGGTTGAGTAAATTGAATGTGGGGTTATTGTTTGTGTCCACAAAACCAAGCCCTAAATCACATTTAGCATAATTGGTGGTTTTAAATTGGACTGATTTAGCAAGGAGAGTGAAATAATCTCTCATCCTGTCAAAAAAGGCGATACCTTCGGACCGGCATTTAATTGCATTGGCAGAGTAACTTTGGGAAGGCAGCAGTAATTCTGGCTGCATTATTCTTGGTTTGTGGTGAAATTGAGATCATCATTTTCTCCTGGTTGCACTAACTTTCTTTATTGCTCTTCAAACTAATCAGATGAATGCAGTGAGAGAAGCTTTGTGGTAGCCGGAGGGTGAATGGGGGAGAGGGTGAGGTCTCTGAGCAGGGCTGTAATCATCTGTAGACTTGCACTTTACACATTTCAGGATCCAGGTAGAGAGAGCAGGTAAACGGACCCCTAGAAAGCCATAGGTGCAGACTGGTGAATTTCTTTGTAGTCATTTACACAATGTGAATACCATTCATTCCCCCCAGAAGTGTGTTACTGAGGGCACACCTAAGGAAGTGCTGTTGCAGCCAAATCGTACAGGTAAGGCTCATCTGCATTCAGGCTGGCAGCCAGGAGTGTGGGTGCTGGAGGGAATTCCCAGGTGCCTCAATTTTTCCCATTAAAATCCCCCCTTTTGTCTCCATCACACAACCAGACTCTTAAGGAACGAATCCACACCTTGCTCATTTTCCATCTGGACCACTGCCTCTTCCCAAGTGTCTTAGTTCAGGCTGATTCCTACTTGTCACAGTCCCTTCCTCCAGTGAAAGCATTTCTCTTAATTTTTACCAGGCCTGCTTCCCTCTAAAAGAAATCAGGTCATTAATGCCTTAGACATTTTATCAAGCTGAAAAATGATGACTCAAAACTGTAATGACAGCTCGCCTGCCTTCTTGACTTCCGTTCCCGTGGGAGTTATCCACTGGACTTCTTGGAATGGCTACCTCCTTAAATACTTCAGGTATCTCTTTGGAATGTGACACACAGCTTGGTTGTGGTTCTAAGCACAGGTGCCCCCAGGTGTCTGCAGCCTTCTGGGGACACCCCTGGAGGGAGGTGCTGGGACGGGAAGTAAGTGTCCTGACATGAGACATTGTACTTCCTTGTACTGAACCCAAGCCCCTTGTCCGTGGCTTCAGTTACCCGAATAGTCTTGATCTTAAGAGTTTACACGAACTGTGGACGAGTTTGTGGCCAGTAAGTAATGTCTGTGTGAAAGAATGAATCAGAGAATGGGGTAGAAGAAGTATAATCTCTTGAAATCTTTCTGCTGCCAATTGAGAGTTGGTGCTTTGAAGGAAAAGATGCCTTTGGCTTTTAAGTTTGTATTGGCAAACTTACACTCTGGGGAAGGAGGAGCCTTCCAGCTTCCAGTGGTAACCTTTGATCTGCGTACTCCTCTGTTTATATCGTGTCACCAAGGTGGCCTTTCATTCTGCTGTGTAATAACAGTGCAGTGATCTGTTGCTTATCTGATGTCAGAGGGGTTGTGTGTACGTTGATCAGGATACGCAAAGGCCAGAAGCCAAAATCAGAAACTAGGTAGGTTGACTGTTTCATCATTTCAGGTTGAGTTCGAAAATTGTGATTTCGTCCAGTGTTAAGAGAACGGCTCTGCAGATAACGGATTATTGAAACAGCTTGATGAATGTATCATTACTCAGGAAGGGATCTGGAGTTGGCTGACTTCCTTTTGGTGGAGATGTGGGGAAACCAAAAGGAAGAAAACAATTGCATTTATTAGATATCACATGACAATCAGAAAAGTATCATTTTATATGTAAGTGAGTAAATCCTAAGAGTTCTCATCCCAAGTCTTTCTTCTTTTTCTTTATTTAGTATCTATATGAGAAGATGGGTTTAACTAACCTTACTGAGGTCATCATTCCATGATGTGTAAGTCAGATCTTATGTTGTGCACCTTAAACTTACACGGTGCTGTGTGTCAATATCTCAAAACGGGAAGGAAAAAAATAAAAATTAAAAATAGAGATAGATATGCTCTGTAATAGTCATTTACAGGCTGCTCATGGTACTGAAATTTTCTCCTGTCATTCGAAGAAACATTTCCATTTCTACACGGTGTTTCTACCTAAGAAACACCTGCAGAAATTAAATTCGATATATACAGGTGAGTAAGACGGTCATGCTGGAGTTGCACCTTTCTTTCACTTGAGAGGAAATCAAACTGTGTGCCTGGCTTTCCTGGCGGGGAGTGAGGGGCCTGCGTTCACCCTTAGCATTTCTGTTTCCATAGCTGTGCCACCGAACATAGCAGAACTGAAGAATTTGGAAGTGCTGAACTTCTTTAATAACCAGATTGAGGAGCTGCCCACACAGATCAGCAGCCTTCAGAAGCTCAAACACTTGAACGTCAGGTGAGCCTCATGGAGGAGAGAGGATTCCGAGCAGAGGAAGCGCTGGAGGGGGCGGGGCGGGAGGCGGGTGGGGGGCGGGGCTTGTCATTGCTCCTATTAGATAGGAGAAGCCGAGTTCTAGTTTCCATCTCTGTTTTAGGTTTTAAAAAAGTTTTGTTGTTTTAATGCAACCTTTCTATGGCCTCCATTAGTGCATGTCTGTTTGCATGCTAATTAAGAAGCTAATTGTTGGTACAATAAGGAAGTCTTTTTTTTTTTTTAAACTGCATTTTGTTTCCAGTAAAATTTTGTTTCTGTTATGTTGACTGAGAAGGGACCTATTTGCATAGCATTAACTGTGCAGACCAGTTGCAATGTGGTTGATTCTTTTTTCTGTGTTGAGTCAAAGTAGTGTGCAAAGCAGCTTCCTTCCACGGAGGGGAGGATGCATTTCCTAACACCGCTCCATTGACTCTTACAATTCTTGTTTGTGGTCAAGAGGTTATAGTCCCAAGTCTCTCTTCACACAGAGGTGAAGAGGGGAGTTTTGATTCAGCTGCTGAGGTTGTGGAATCAGGTTGCAGTGAATAATAATATCTTGTATTCTTACATTGCTTCACAGTTTTCAAAGTCCTCACACTGGTATTTGACCCCCTCAACTATTGGGAAGGAGGGAGGGCAGGCATTATTGCCATCATCTTGTGGAATGGAAGCCAAGCCCTTTCCAAGGGGCCCAGTGACTTGCCCTGATTGCTCCTGAGGTTAGTGGCCTAGCTCAGCAGAGAACCCCAGTGTGTGTGGGGTCTGTGCCCTGCCCAGCACACACCATGGATGCCACTCAGAACTTGGACTTCTGCACTCCAGCTTCACTGTTGGAGCTGTTGAATGCAGCTGCCCACTCATGCCTCATCCTCTCCGTGAAGTCATGTATTCGTTAAATTATAGCCATTAAGTGCTGTGATCCAGTTGGTGATTTGCATGGAGTGGCTGTAGAAGCCGGCCAGGTGTTTATGAATTTACTGGGAAGCAATCATGAAAAAAATCTTTTGCATGGACTGATGTTCAGTTGAGTTTCTCCCCACCAGGCATCTGGTCAGATGCTCTTAATTTGGTGTGCACTCCAGTTGAGAGACAGTCTTTGTAAGACGCATGAGGACTCTTTCTCCTAACATCTGGGGGGGAGTGGAGTTTGGGGGAGGGCAAAAGTCACTGTATGTGGTGCCTTTTTCCTCCTACAAATGGGGAGACTGTATACTTGTCGGGCAAAGTGGGAAAGAAAGGATCCTCCATTTACATCTTTGTTTTGAATATTATTAAGTCCTAATACTTTATTTGCATATAAGAAAGAAGCTAAAACAAGATCTAGATCCAAGAAATACAAAACTAGGTGCTTTGTTGCCTAATGTCTGCATCATTCACAAAGCGAGTTAATAGTTACATCTGAGGGGCTAGGAGTAGTGCCTGGCGCATGGTAGCAGTCCATAGGGTTAGCTTTTATTATCATCATCGTTGTTTTACTTACGAATTCATTTATTTCTTGACTGTGTGCCTTTTCTGCACCAGGAGCCTTGCCAGCGTGGGGATCAGCAGTGAAGGTCACAGCCCCCGGCCTTAAGGATGGGGGCAGAGCAGTTGTCAGTGACAGTGTCCAGCGGGGTCACTGATGGGTTGGCGGCTGTCAGTTGGCAGTGGGAGAGGGGGACAGGGAGCAGGTGAGATCCTCGGAAGGAAGGGTTCCTCTCCTGGGTAGTATGAGAGCTAAGACCCGATGCTGAGAAGGAATTGGTCAGACTCACAAGTAGAGGGAAGACGTCTCCGATGGTGAGAATGACAGATGTGAAAGCTCAGAGTCAGGTTGCAGGTTGTTTGGTGTCACCAAGAGTAAGATGTGAGGCCGGGAGGGGAGAGACAGGCGGTGAGGCCAGGCAGAGCAGCCTGAAAGTCTGCTCTTACGTTGGATGAGCCTTTCCTGGGCTCTCAACTCTGTGCCAAGCACTGCTGTGGTCCTGCCCATCCACCCTGGGGAGCATACATCACAGGTGGGGAAACAGCCTAAAAATACATAGATGTCTGTCGGCAGGAGTCAAGTGCTGATAAAGGGCGTGTGTGTCAGAGAAAGGAGCTGTGGTCTCATCCTGCCGCCCACTGGGGAGTTGGCACAGTGACGTGGCGGGTGTGCGGTGAGGTGGGAGGATTTCCCATAGGAAAGATCATGGTGGGGAGAGGTCAGAGGGGGTGTGACTTCAGGTCAGGAGACACATAAGTTCTCTAGGTGAGCGTTCCTGGTGAACTAGGGCAGGAACACTGACGGCGGGGAGGGATTGCAAATGAAAAGTACGCAGGAGGTAAAACTGACAAGACAGTACAGAGGGGAGGGGAGGGGAGGCCTGAAATAGAGGTGCAGGTAGAGACAGTTTTGTTCTACAGGTTTTGTTTGGCTTTGTTTTGTTCAAGGAGCCTTAGGACAGAGTTGGAAACTTTCCTTTATTACCCAGTGCATCTGAGTTGCCTCTTTGTTGACTTTGGAGCTGTTTGGCCCTCGGTGACTTATTGACTGTGTAAAGCTTTCTGTATTTAATTACATAACTGCACGGACGGGGTTGTCAAAGTCTGAATAAAATTCTTAGTTCTCTGGGAAAGGAATTAGGCTCGGTTTCCATAAATGGTATTACTGATGTCAAATGGCATAAAGAATTATACCTGCACAGCCCTGGTTAGGGCAAAGGCATCAAGAACCCCTTAGAATGAACAGCTAGAATTTAAAAAAAATATATGCACAGGAGACCCTCCTACAGCAGAGCAATTAGGCCACACGTATGCATGATCCAAACAGCACGTTCAACCGCAAGTTGCTTTTGTTTTGTTTTTATTCTGATCATTGAAAAACCGGCAAGAATTTTTGGACCATCTGAATAAACAGAGGAAAGTTGAATCATGCTTTTCATTTTTTTTGAATGTCATTCATTGTCCAGAGTTGTTTTGTTTGTTTGTTTGTTTGTTTGTTTTTAACAAAAAATGTAAAGCCACGTAGGTTACAAGTTGGTAATTATTTCAAGGATAACCTCATGGAAGGAGCATCATACCAGCTATTCCGGAATAACTTTCCAGCTGGTGAGATGGGGAAGCTTGTCTTGGGAAGAATTCACAGTTTTCACTAAAGCCGAGTGTTGAGTGTTCATGGATTTGGACTTAGTTTTTCCCCCAAGTGTGTGAGTGGGTCACTGTGCAAGTGAGAAAAATACTTGCCTTTTGGGCAGAAAGGCTTTATTGAATCAGGAGGAGCCTCTGAGGACCCCTGGAGTTCAGTGTTCCTAAAAGGAAGGGTTTGTGGGGGCCTTCCTGTAGCTTTTGGAGAAGACAAAGAGCAGAGACGCCCAACAGCCTTTGCTCTGGCTTTATGAAGTTCTCCATCATAGGCAGGCGTATTCTCATTTCCATATGCTTTGGAAAAATTGTCCTGGAGGCTGTTTTGCGAAGTGTAAAGTTAACCTGGGACTTGATACCCATCAAGAGGTGGAAATCACTCTTTTCTGGATTCCTCTTTCTGCTGTCAACTGTTTCTTAGGTGGCCTGGTTGATGGATGTGAGTAGGATTGTACCTAAACTGATAAGGATCAGTGTCTAAAATTATTAGTATTATTGTGTGTGTGGTGAAGGATAAAATTATTTTTAGTGTCACAGTTCCTCCCAAGTTTTAAATATTTGTCATCCTATATTAGATTAAAAAAATTTTAATCGGGTCTTTAAGTGTGTTCAGAGGGAGCCACGTTAAGGGAAATAAGAGTCTTGAAGGAGAAAAAGATAATAGAAAAAAATTTTTCCTTAGCTTTCGTTGGAGAGATGTGTGTATTTAAAATCTTTCAGTTGTGATGAAATATGCATAACGTAAATTTACCATTTTAACCATTTTAAGTTTATGATTCAGAAGCATGAAGTACATTCACATTGTTGCGCAGCCAATCTCTGCAAGTTTCTCATCTTGCAAAACTGAAACTCTATTCCCACTGAACAGTAACTCCTCATGACCCGCCTCCCTCAGCCTCTGGTAACCTCCATTCTAAGTGGAGATTATTTTGAACTACTATTAGTAGTACAAAACAAAAAAAAGGATTTTTTTTTTTTGTCTCCCACTGGGAGGAAAAAGTGAAATCAAATAAAGCAGAAGTCTGAAAACTACAAGGCTCCGTTGGTATCTTTTGAGGTCTTATTATCGCTACATCCATCAGGAAGTTTTTCTCTAGAAGAATGGATGTTTTGTGATGTCTTAGTTTTCTGCATGGAACAGTCACTGAGCATCAAGCGTTGGAGAAAGTGACAAACTAAGACATTTACAAACATTTCATGAACATGGAGCTTCTCAGACTAGGATTCCTAGGCTGGTTAAAAGTGACACAAAGTGATTATGGAATTAACGGCCATCTTTGAAGCTTTCAGCCTCTCCCACGAGGCTCCCAGGCCCGGGACACAGAGGTGAGCTGAGCAGTCTGTGTAAATACATGTTTCTGTGTTGTGTAACATCTTGCATTTTTTTTCCCCCAACAACAGCATGAATAGACTGAACACCCTGCCTCGAGGATTCGGCTCACTCCCAGCTCTAGAGGTCCTTGATTTGACTTACAACAACTTGAATGAAAATTCTCTTCCTGGAAACTTCTTCTACCTGAGTATGAAACTTTTAATTCTATAAATCTGCTTAAAATGGTCCTTTGCGTTCTAAAAGTGAAATTTATTTGCCAGGGTCCAAACTCCAAGAGAAATTATTCGACATATATATTTTTTCCTCAGATTCCTTCTGAATATTCCCTCATAGCTCAGCAGTCTGTGTTTGATGTATAGTTACCTGACACCATTGCACTCACGTGGACTTAGTAATGTCATATTAAATTTCTGATGGAGATTTTTACCTAAATGAGATCAAGTCTCACATTTAGCTAGGGAACTTGACTTTCTTTTTAAAGAGCATCCAGAAAAAAAAATAATAATAATACACGTGTCTTCCTAATGTTGCTATTAACTCTTTGTAGGCTTTTTGCCCAAAGATAGTCCAATCAGTTATTTATAAAAATATCCATTATTAGAGGGGAGGTACAGCTCAGTGGTAGAGTGCATGCCTAGCATGCATGAGGTCCTGGGTTCAATCCCCAGTGCCTCCATTAAAATAAACAAACAAACAAACCTAATCACCTCCCCCCTCCAACCAAAAAAAAAAAAAGAAATTGAAAAAAAATCCATTAATAAACCTCTAATAGGAACTTTAAACATTTCCAGCCAGGATTCTCGTTTTAAGCTTTTTAAAAAGTTCTTTCTGACATAGTCTACTGTATGTGCAGTATACTATCAAAAATTAAGAAATTATAGATCACAGATGAACACACTTGGAACTTTTATAGGCAAGCATATTTCCTACTGCAGATGGAAAAAGAGGAAAAATTGATTTTTCCGAGAACTCATGAAATTTTTAGGGAAGAGTTGCTGTCTTTAAACGAATGTTCTGCTTCTCCAAATAGTGACCTATATGATATCCAGAAATTTTGATTTTTCCGAATTAGTCTCTAGTTTCGTTTTTTTACCTTACATAGACACTCTTTATCCCAGACTTCTCATAAAGCACATGAAACCAACTTTAACAGTTTTCTTGAGCCGCGGAAGAAATTATTTTTCTTGGATATATTAACATGCAGTTCTGTTGAACTTTAAGATAATTGAATGTAATTGAACACTTATAAAGAAATACAGCATACGTCAGATTATACTCTCCCTTTGGGTTAAGGTTGAAAAGATGCCTTGGGTTTTAGCCTTTAGTTGATGGGGGACTAGTATTGTATGGTATTCTGAACAAATTGCTGATTACTGATAATCTGCCTAAGTTAGGGTTTTCTCTATTTTTGAAGCTCCCCGTCATTATTTCAGCTCCTTCACCTTCATTTATTTTTGCCGTTAAGGCTATAGAAACAATAATAGTTAGTCTGACTATGGAAACAGTGAACAGCGATCACAGCCTCCATCAGAGGAAAGCCTTTGGTTACTTATTTTTTGACCTAGTTTTCTGTTTATGGGAGCGAAGCGTTGGTATCAGGTGACATGGGAAGTTTCTTTTGTTTCGCTCTGGATGCAAATCAAACCCATAAATGCGAATCGGAAGTAATAGAAAAACAAGAGCTGTCTTTGCTGAGAGCGTATTGAAAACTCTGGGCCAGAAACTGCCGGTTGCCCACAGTTGTTAATTGTGTCAGTTCACTTGGATATAGATGTCTTCCTGAACACACCAGCTCCACAATCAGCCGGTAAATCTAAGTTTGACCTGCTTGTTATTATTGTGAGCCCTAGGTATGTCACAGGCTTTTCACCGAGCCAGGGTTATTAATCAAAGCTGACTCCCTCGTATTGATCAGACCTCAAGTGGCTGGGTTCCATGCCACCCTGTTTATATATTGCTGTTTAATTTGCAGCCACCCTGCGTGCACTCTATCTAAGTGACAACGATTTTGAAATCCTGCCGCCAGATATTGGGAAGCTCACAAAGTTGCAGATAGTAAGTAATTTATCTAAATTCTTAGAAAATCAATTCACTCCTGCAGCCCTGGGAGGAGTGGAATCGAGTCAATTTGAGCCGGAGTACAGTTTGTTTTGCAGGAATAAAACCACTCCTCCCCAGTACTGTTCCTTGTTGGTCTGCAGACCCTGGTAAATAAAGGGAAAGGATTGAGCCTTCTAAGAAGACAGGGCACGGGGCCAGGACGAGTGTGTCTTTCGAGTCCTCTTGATGTGAAAATTGTTCTGACAGCTCCTGTTTTTTTTTCTTCTCTTTAGCTCAGCCTTAGGGATAACGACCTGATCTCGCTGCCGAAGGAAATCGGGGAGCTTACTCAGCTTAAGGAGCTCCACATTCAGGGGAACCGCCTGACCGTTCTGCCCCCAGAACTCGGTAAGGTTGCTGATGAACGGTCTGTGTTCTGGGTTTAATTAGTAATAATGATCTGAGTGCTGCAGCTCTGAAAAAAGCCTCTCTCCTCTTCTGGGCACATAGACTCCATCCAAGGCGCCCAGTCCTGATATTTTTCTAGCAGCATTTGTCATCGACCAGGGGTTAGCTCTTCTGGGGTTGGACCTTCCCTGATGATTCATGGAGCAGCTGTGGTACCAGTGTCTCAGGAGCTGCTGCTGAAAGGTGACCCAGCTCAGCTGCCTGTGTGGTGCAGCGAAAGGAGCCTGGGTGGTTCTCGGTCTCCCCAGGGCTCCTCCTTGACCAGGAGTGATCATTTTTTTTTCCCCTTCTTTTTAAAGTCTAATCACTCTTATTTTTTTTTTTTTGATCCCTTAATTTTTTTAAAATTTTTTTTATTTTTATTTTTTTTACATTTTTTTATTGATTCATAATCATTTTACAGTGTTGTGTCAAATTCCAGTGTTCAGCACAATTTTTCAGTCATTCATGGACATATATTTAATCCCTCAAACTTTTACCAAATGGTTAAAATATGTACGACAGCTGTATCTCCAGCCTTGATTTTGGTTCCCTGCTGCTGCCGTCTCCAGTGGGAACTGTTAAATATGTTCTCACTGGAAACTCTTTGGTCCTCCCGCTGTGGCCCCTGAATCGTCCCCCTCTGCCTGGTCATTCAGGTGGCCCTAAGCGCCTCTAGGCCTCCCTCGGACATAACGTCCAACCCATTTCCTCGTGTTCCTGAGGTTGTCCTTCTGGACATGTTCCATGAGTTCTCTTCTCCCGTGCAGACTCTGGGTAGCCTCTCATTTCTTCGCTACAGTCAACTGCATTGTTTCTCAAACTAGAACTATTTGCTTTTCTGCTCCAAAATATCCCACAATTGAAAAAAGCACATTTGACCCAACATTCTTGGAGGAAGTAAATCCAGTGAGTCTGGTGGTTTTAAAGAGGCTGGTGGTTATTATAAATGAGGATGGAAGTTCCATGAGAGCTGGGGGGTTGTGTGTGCTCCCCACTGTATCCCCAGTGCTGGCCATGTGCGAGGCACCAGGTAGACACTCAAGGGATAAGTACCGAATGAGTTAATGAAACAAGGACCTCAAATAGCAAGGTGTCAGGAAGGTGAGAAGCAAGCCAAGGCTGGCCTTTGCCTAGAGCTGTGCTGTCCAGCATGGAAGCCACAAGCCACATTTCAGGCGTTGAGGAACCACGTGTGGCTCATGGTTGCCTTATGGGAAAATTCAGGTAGAGAACATTTCCATGGGAGGGAAAGCTGTGTTGGGCAGCATGAGTCTAAAAGAAGCATTCATGCAATTCCATGGAACAGATACAGCTTCCCCCTGACCTTCCCATCTGCTGTGGCTCCTTTGTTGCTGCCAAAGGTCTTGAGGAATTTGTCCTGATTTCAAGGACTGCAGAGTCACTCAGCTCCTTCCCAGAGTTACGGGTCATCAGTCCTGTTGCATGAGATCAAGAGAAAATGTTCAGGAACATTTTTAAGGCAAAACAAAACAAAACAAAACAAAACAAAACACTTCTTACCAAAGGAAAGATTCTGGACCGTGATAGCCAGCCACAGATGTTGGCATTAGTAATTCATGGGGAACTTCTGCAGGATGCAAACACCTGCTCCCTCCCTGACCAACTGCGTGAGGCTACGTCTTGTGTAATTTGGTAAAACTCCCTTAGTGCTTCTGACCTTCGTCTTGGATTAGCATGATGAGGAGAAATGGTTAAAAAAACGTGTTTTGTTGTTTTACTTCATTTTTCAAGCACGGGGGCAGTGTAGGGCATTGGATTAGTCAGTGATTTCTGTCAGCTAACAGTTTGGTAGGAAAACAGCTGATTGAACCCATGCGTACCTGTGTACCTGTACATTTTTAAATCTTACATTGCTTGTCCTGTTTAGATTCTGCACATGGTCGTGTTAGTCTTAACATTTTTCTGTTAACGCTCTCTAATACCAAACATATATTCAGGACTAGAATTGAAGATAGTCTTTTTTTTCTTTCTTTTTTTTTTTTTTGAGGAGAAAGTCTTTAAATAAGTTGATTATTGGTAGCCATACCTAGAAAAGCTTTATTTCAGCATCTGCCTGGTGGCATTTCTCCCAAATTGCAAGGACACTTAGCTGTAAGTAAATGGTAAGCCCCTAGCTAAACTCAGGATAAAGGTAGGTGTATTATTTATTTTTGAACAGTGATTTTTTTTAAAGAATATGATGATAGTACTGTAATAATAGCTGTTATAATAAGATGGACTGAGGCCTTATGTGCCAAGGCACTGTGGTAAGTGCTTTTCCTGTGCTGGCTCCTGTAATTGTCCAAAAATAGAAAGTGGACCTTTTAGAGTTGAGGAAACTGAGGCTTAGGAAATGTTGGTGACGTGTGCATCGGGTCACGGCTGGTCATGGAGGCGAGATTTGAACCCTGGCGCCCACTTTTCCGGATCCGTGTACCTGACCAGTGGGCTGCCCTCTTCCCGTCTGTGTGCCGGTAAGGATGCCTAGAAGGCCGTGTTTCCAAGTGTGAATGAAGCACACCACCTGCTCCCTGCCCCAGACAGTGGCAGAAGGAGAGGAGATTGAATGTGGTGACTTGTGAGGCTGGACCTCCCTGCTGGTGTGTGAGCAGCAGGGCTGGGATAACACTTTGCAGAATGCGGAGGAGGTGACCTCTGTGAAAGGAACTGATGCTCTGCTCTTCCAGCCCAGGCCGGTTGCGTTGTTCCCCTGGCTCTTCCCCCGCCAGTAAGCATCCAGCCACAGCAGGACTCTCTTTTGTCTGCCTGTGCGCCTGGTACCCAGGGTGGTCATCTGGACCGCCCTGGCTGGCCACGGGGCGGGGCTGGGGACCGTGTAACTTGAGGCTTGGATTGTCCGTCCCTGCAGCATCCTCTGGCTCCAGGCTTGCTCCTGGGTGTATTTGAAAAGATGGATAATGATCTGACCCCTGAATATTCAACTTTTTACATATCTGAATAAACAAGAGAAATGCTTTTGAGACTTCTGCAGAATTTCCTTTAAAAATAAACCTGGAGTTTATTAACTTGAAACCTCGTTGGCAAGAGTTTTTGAAGCAAGCAAGGGAATCCAAATGGATTCTGACTTGTCAGGTCTGAGACTGTGCAGGGACACTGCGGAACAAAGTCCAGGCCTTGCGTGGAGTTTTAATATGTAATTGTATTACTTTCCTTCCGTTGCACAAACTTGAATAAATTACTTTACCTGTTATGTCTGGTTCCTCAACAGGAAAGCACTTGATTTTACGTTAGTCCATAGACCTATAGAAAATTAGGTATAGAGTGTGTCTGTCATTCACCCATCCATTTCCTCATTCATTCAGACATTAATTAAGTTCCTACTTGAGGCCAGGTCTTGTTTTGAAGGGACTTACTTTTCCAGTAACGTAGAATTCACTTATCCAGCAACCGTTTACTGAGTCCCTGCTTCATGTTTTATTTCCAGGGGATAGAAGAAGAGACAAAACACCCCTTGTAACATTTTGGTGGGTGAGGGAGGGAGGATGGATGGATGGATGGATGGATGGATGGATGGAAAGAGAACATAACACGTGATGTTAAATGCCCCGGGGGGAAAAAATGAGAACAGAAGAGACTCTCCAAGTCGTGGCGGGGAAAGGGGAATGTTACTTTATTACGTGGAGTCAACAGAGAAGGTCTTATCATACCTTGGTGTTGTTCAGTCACAGGCCTGAGGGAGGGAGCTTTCCTGGTAGAGGGGACAGCAGGTGCAGAGGTCCTGAGATGGGCTTGTGTGCTGAGGAGCAGCCAGAAGGCTAGTGTGGCTGGAGCCGGCTGAGCGAGGAGGAGAGTTGGAAGAGTTGGACTTTGACAGGGAATGGGGACTAGATCACATGGGAACTTGTGGGGCGTTGTGAGAACTTTGGCTTCTGCTCTGAGTGAGATGGTGTGGGAGGCTGAATAATGGCTTCCCCAGAGATGCCCTGTCCTCGTGACCGGAATCTGGGAGAATGCTGTTTTGCATGGTTAAGGGACTTTGCAGATGTGATGTCCCATCTAGAAATGGGGAGATCACCCTGGATCACCAAGGGGAGCCCAGGGTAATTGTGAGGGTCCTTAGAAGGGGGAGGCAGGAGGGTCAGAGACAGCAGTAGAAGATCTGGGGACAGAGTCAGGAGGTTGGAGTTGGGCGTGGAAGGGGCCATGCACCAAGGACAGTGGCGGCCTCCAGAAGCTGAGAATGGCAAGGACCTGGATTTTCCCCAGGAGCCTCCAGAAGGAAGGCAGCCCTTCTGCATTCATCCAGGTGGCAGTAATGTTAGATTCTGGTGTTCCAGAGGCGGAACCAACAGGAATTGGTGATGATTTCAATGATGAAGGAGGGAGCAAAGAGTGACTGGGTCTTAGGGAACTAAGAAGATGAGGAAGGTAGCGGGAAGGGTAGGTTGAGGAGATGGAGGAGGAGAGGAGCTGAGTTTTGGATTCCTAGAGGTTTGAGCTGCTTTTTGGGTATCTAATCAAGAAGGCAACTGGATATTAGACTCCAGGGTCGAGAGGAAGGGTCTGGGCTGCATCTGTAATTTTGGGCATCATTACCATAAACATAATACCACAGGTCGGTTGAGGTCCCTTGGACGTGACGGTGGAGTGTAGAACACAGAGCCGTGTAGCACTCTGGTTCCTAAGCCCTGAAGCCAGAGAATCAGGGACCTATAAGGGTTCTGTCGCTTAGGCATCTGTGGCCAAGTCAGGGACCATAGTCTCCCCTCTTTGGCCCCATCATGACTCGTCAGTGCTCACGCAGTGAGAGTGCTTTTGCATGGTAGGAAAAATGTTTTCCCGACCTGAGCAGCTAACTCTGCCAGCAAAGGGGTGAAACAGACATGATTGAAATCTCCTGAGCCTGCCTGTCTCCGCAGCTCTCCTCTGGACCAGTATTTTCAGCCAGCATCTCTTCTCTCCTTCTAAAAAGCAGCAGGGTGACTGACGGAAGTTTT